CTAAAACCTTTATTTCGATGAGGCAGGTTTTAGCCGTATCAAATGCTATATACCCTCTGTAGCCATATGACTGAGAATATAAATATAAATTAGCAAACATTTGTTATTCTACAACCCCACCTACCCTACGTTATCTGCAGTCAACCTGTAACATGTGATATTAATATTTCATTATTCATATTTCCACAGTGTAAATATTTGCAAAAGTTTTACGACACAGTGATATTTTAGAAATAAAATAATTTCATAATAGGAAGTACGAAAGAAAGCACATCTGCATTTTATCTGCAATTCCTACGCAAATGCGGGGCGGTACTTCTATCATTTATTTAATGCAGTGTTGTAAAGATGGCAAATATTGAAAGATGAGAAAAAGGCAAACACAAAATAATATTTAAAGTTGTCGGAATTTCCAGAAAAGTTTCATTATTAGAGTTCGACGATTAAAAGTATGGGGTAAACTATATCCGTCAAGGTGAGCGAGCTGGATGAGCCTAGGTGGCTGTGGATTTTTATACCCTACACCACAGGGTGGCCAGGGTATTATGTCTTTGTACATTTGTTTGTAACAGGCCAAAGGAAACGAAATAGACCCATAGTTCCTTTTGATGATCTGCATAGAATCACATTCTGAGACGATTTATGCATGTCCGTCCATCTGTCCATGTATTTTTGTAAACAAAGTACAGTTCGCATTTATTGCCCTATCCAGATGAAATTTTGCACAGATCATTTCTTTGGTCCAAGGACAAACCCTATTGAAATTGGAGATATTGGGTAAAAATTTAGATATAGCTCCCATATATAACTTCGTCCGATTTACCTTTTATTTTGCACCAAACGTGTAATATCAGCCCGAATAGTATGGAATTTTGCACATACAACCAAATTAGGCCTGAATATAAGTATGCCAAATTTAATCGAAATCGGTTCAGATATTGCTATAGCTCCCACATATACTGTTCTTCCGATTTGTTATTTTTGTCCTCCGCAGCTGTAATAGGCACTCTGTAACAACAATATTTGAGGAAATATATCAAATACAGCTCAGAAATACATTTGCTAAATTTTATCGAGATCGGTACAGATTTGGATATAGCTCCCATATATATCTTCATCAGATTTCAAATAAATTTTGCACCAAATGGGCAATACAAGTCCGAATTTAAAAGATACAAATGCTTCGGCATATTTAGTCCTTTGAACTTTAAATTATAATTATAATCATGGCGTGTATGATTGAATTCTCCCACAAAAAACTTTTAATTGTTATGCGGAGCTCTACTAAATTACCAAAGTGGTGTAGGGTATCATAAAGTCGGCCCTGCCCGATTTTAGGACTTTCTTTACTGGTTTTCCCTTAATAAATGTTGACAGCATTTAAATTTAATTTTCCAATAGAGAATTAAATTCCATGGCCTACCAGTAACCAAATTGAAAAATATGTTATTGTTTTCCTTTACATTGAAAAGGGGATATTCGAAACACACAGACCAACTGCAGTGCATTGTAAAAAAAAAATTCGGAGAAAAAATAACGACAAAATTACAACCTGGATGTCCGCAATTCAAGGGAGTCGAATGCAGCATCGTCTGTCCGAAATAACAAAAACAGGACAATTTTAACTTATGCCATTCATTGATGGTCATCCCCATTCCGCTCCATCGCATTCCAACGAGCATCCATCCATTATAACAGATGGTATTAAAGGTAAAAAGTCACTGGGACAAAAATTATACAGATTCTGTTAAAAACAAAGCAACAAAATAATGGAGAAGAAAAAAAAAAAAAAACGAGGAAAATATTATTGAAATTGCAAATCTAGGAATTCATGAAAATGAAGCTGAAGCTGAAGCTGAAAAAAAAAACAAGTTATTAAAAATGTCCTTCTCCTCTTTTATGGTGAAAACTTTGTGATTTATGCAGGGCGAAAAGGATTTAAAATAAAGTTGAAAGCTTTTCAATGGAGAACGAGTGCAGTTATTCTTTTTCATAAATGGTTGGACATTATTCCATAAAAGTAAGCCGAAACTCAGCCACTCGGGGATAAGTAGATATTAACGGTTAAACATTGGGGGATGGAAAATAAAACAGTACATTCAAGTAATATTTATTCCAGCTTAATTATTAAATTATTAATCTTTAAACCAGTAAAGAAAGTCTTAAAGTCGGGCTGGGCCGACTTTATGATAACCTACACCACTTTGCTAATTTAGAGGTAATTTAGAGCTCCGCTTTTTTATGAGAGAATCCAATCATACACGCTATGATTATAAATATAATTTAAAGTTCAAAAGACTAAATAGGCCGAAGCATTTGTATCTTTTATATTCGGACTTGTATTGCCCATTTGATGCATACGGGAGCTATATCCAAATCTGAACCGCTCTTGATAAAATTTAGCGAAGGTATTTCTGAGCTGTATTTCATATTTTCCTGAATATCGTGGTTACGGAGTGCATATTACGGCTGCGGAGGACAAAAATAACAAATCGGATGAACAATATATATAGGAGGTATAGCTATATCTGAACTGATCTTCCCCAAATTTGAAATACAAGCTTCTAGACTCAATTCGGTCGTAAATGCCAAATTCCATCCCATTTGGACAAATATTAAACGTTTGGGGCACAATAAAAGGTAAATCGGACGAAGTTATATATGGGTGCTATATCCAAATCTGAACCGATCTCGATAAAATTTAGCAAAATGTATTTCTGAGCTGTATTTGATATAGTTCCCCAAATATTGTTGTTAAGGAGAGCATATTGCGGCTGCGGAGGACTAAAATAACAAATCGGATGAAGCATATATGGGAGCTATAGCTATATCTGAACCAATTTTCACCAAATTTGACATACTAGCTTCTAGACTAAATTCGTTCATAAGTGCCAAATTCCATCCCATTTAGACAAATATTAAACGTTTGGTGCACAATAAAAGGTAAGTCGGACGAAGTTATATATGGGTGCTATATCCAAATCTGAACCGATCTCGATCAAATTTAGCAAATGTATTTCTGAGCTGTATTTGATATATTTCCCCAAAGTTTGTAGTTACAGAGTGCATATTACAGCTGCGGAGGACAAAAATAACAAATCGGATGAAAAATATATAAGGGAGCTATAGCTATATCTGAACCGATTTCGGTAAAATATGGCATACTTATTTTTAGGCCTAATTTGGTTGTATGTGCCAAATTCCATACTGTTCGGAGCGATATTACGCATTTGGTGCACAATAAAATGTAAATCGGACGAAGTTATATATGGGAGCTATATCAAAATCTGAACCGATCTTGATAAAATTTGGCAAATATATTTCTGAGCTGTATTTCATATATTTCCCTGAATATCGTTGTTACGGAGTGCATATTACGGCTGCGGAGGAAAAAAATAATAAATCGGATGAACAATATATATGGGAGCTATAGCTATATCTGAACCGATTTAAATCAAATTTGGCATACTTATTTTCAGGCCTAATTTGGTTGTATATGCAAAATTCCATCTTATTCGAGCTGATATTACACGTTTGGTGCACAATAAAAGGCAAATCGGACGAAGATATATATGGGAGCTATATCCAAATCTGAACCGATCTCGATAAAATTTACCAAAGGTATTTCTGAGCTGTATTTTATATATTTTCCCAAATATTGTTGTTACAAAGTGCATATTACGGCTGCGGAGGACAAAAATAACAACTTGGATGAACAATATATATGGGAGCTATAGCTATATCTGAATACTATTCGGGCTGATATTACACGTTTGGTGCACAATAAAAGGCAAATCGGACGAAGATATAAATGGGAGATATATCTGATTTTTTACCGATTATGTCCAATTTCAATAGGATTCGTCCTTGGGCCAAACAAATGATTTGTGCAAAACTTCATCTGGATCGGGTAATAAATGCGAACTGCACTTTGTTCACAAAAATACATGGACAGACGGACGGACATGCATAAATCGACTCAGATTCTATGCAGATCATCAAAAGGAACTATAGGTCTATCTCGTTTCCTTTTGCCTGTTACAAACAAATGCACAAAGACATAATACCCTGACCACCTTGTGGTGTAGGGTATAAAAAATAGATATTGAAATACAGATGGCGTACGTTCTTGTAGAAAAGAAGGGGTCTTCTTCTTCTCCTCTATAGAAGAAGAGGAAGAAGGTGTCTTCTTTTTCTCCTCTAGAGAAGAAGAGGAAGAAAGTGTCTTCTTCTTCTCCCCTAGAGAAGAAGAGGAAGAAAGTGTCTTCTTCTTCTCCTCTAGAGAAGAAGAGGAAGAAGGTGTCTTCGTCTTCTTCTCCTCTAGAGAAGAAGAGGAAGAAGGTGTCTTCTTCTTCTTCTCCTCTAGAGAAGAAGAGGAAGAAGGTGTCTTCTTCTCCTCTAGAGAAGAAGAGGAAGAAGGTGTCTTCTTCTCCTCTAGAGAAGAAGAGGAAGAAGGTGTCTTTTTCTTCTCCTCTAGAGAAGAAGAGGAAGAAGGTTTCTTCTTTGTCTTCTACTCTAGAACAAAAAGGTAACTTCTTCCTCTCCTCTAGAATAAGAAGGTATCTTCTTCCTCTCCTCTAGATCTAGAAGAGAACTTCTTCTCCTCTAGAAGAAGAATAGATCTTCTTCTTCTCCTCCAGAAGAAGAAGAGATCTTCTTCTCTAGAAGAAGATGAATATATCCTCTTCCTCTTTTCTAGACAAGACTTTATGCATGGTTTCTTTATCATTATTTTTGAAAGACTTTATTAAAATGTATTTGTAGAATACGTTCTTCTTCGACTAATAACTGAATCCAATCAATTGTGTTAAGCAACATAAATTAATTTCCTTCTATTTCTGGCCATATCTTTCAAATATTTAGACTTTTCCATTATTTCTGGAAAATATATTGCCATAATATTTCTCTCGTTCATTGTCTCGATGGCCAATCGTTTGCCACGAACAAATCCAAGAATTCTATCAAAATTCTAAATAATTTTATGCGATTTTTTTACTCACAATTTTAAGGAAAGCAACAGATGGAAGGAAAATACCCAAATTACCTGTAAAGAGAAAAAGAGAAAACAAAAGTCGGAAATTAAGTATAATATTTCATTGTGTTTTTTTTATTACTTATATATATGTGGAGGAAAAAATCATATTAAAATATTAGATAAAATGTTTACATAATTTCATTTGTCGTTAGAACGAAGCGTTCTACCGAAAAAAGGAAAGGAAAAATATATCCTCGGGATAAAAAGTAATAAAGAAGAATGATGACATCAATGGTAGAAAATAAAATTCTAAGGAAGTCAGAGGAAGGTTTTTTTCGCTATTTATAAACCAACCACCATCACTCGTTGTCAAGGTTGGAAAAATGGCAGAGGAAAAAGGTAAATTATTTAACGTCAGCAGCAATTTTGGGGGTGTGTATGAGTGGGGGATTGGGGAATAAACAAATAAGTCAATTTAAAAATTACAAATCTTCCGGAATTGAGAAAAAAATAGAATGGGAAAATATTGGTGCACTTTAAATAAAATATGGCATCATTTCGAGACTAAATAACTTCAAAATGTAAATTTTTTTTTAAATAAATTAAGTTCTTGAGACACCAAGCATCCGGCGTTCATTGCGAAAAAATATATATTGACTCAAACTTAATTGAATATTACATTTTTATCTACAAAAAACCAACATCCATCGGTTATGATTTTGCAAATGTTAACAGAATGACATTACATTTCATCAAGGACGCCTGACAGACAGACAGACAGACAGCTGGACATCAGCATCAGATTGATTGATGGCCAGACAGAGGTGATTTTTTTTTTCTTTTACAAAAAAAAAAGAATGGAAAAAATATTCTTTTATTGAAATTACAAAGTTGATGAATGATGACAGATAAATATCAATTTGGAGTATTGTATCAGAAAGATAATATGATTTTGCAACACAGCTGACTGACAGAAGTTTCTCAGTGATGCGAAATACACAATGATATTTGAAATATGTTCATTATTCAAAACTAACATCAATCAAAATTGTCATATCTAAAAGGGAAACACGATGAAAATAATGAAATGAATACATTTCTATTCAATAGAGATTGAAATATCATCATGAACAGGCAACAGCCTAAAAGTATGCATCATACATTAAATAAATTTAATTAAAATCTAAACAAGACAACTGCTGATGAGGTCCCAGGTGAGAGCTTTCGAAGAAAATAAATGGGAAAAGATATTTTCTTTTACAGGGGAAGAAGTCATCTTCTATAGGAGAAGAAGTCATCTTCTTCTATGGGAGAAGAAGTAATCTTCTTCTCTGGGAGAAAAAGTAATCTTCTTCTCTGGGAGAAAAAGTAATCTTCTTCTCTGGGAGAAGAAATAATCTTCTTCTCTGGGAGAAGAAGCAATCATCTTCTCTGGGAGAAGAGGTCGTATTCTTCTTTAGGAGAAGAAGTCGTCTTCTTCTATAGGAGAAGAAGTAATCTTCTTCTATAGGAGAAGAAGTCGTCTTCTTCTATAGAAGAAGAAGTCATCTTCCATAGAAGAAGAAGTCATCTTCTATAGAAGAAGAAGTCATCTTCTTCTATAGGAGAAGAAGTCGTCTTCTATAGGAAAGGAAGCCTTCTCTATAGGAGAAGAGGCCTTCTTCTATAGGAAAGGAAGCCTTCTTCTATAGGAAAGGAAGCCTTCTTCCATAGGAAAGGAAGCCTTCTTCTATAGGAAAGGAAGCCTTCTTCTATAGGAGAAGAAGCCTTCTTCTATAGACGAAGAAGCCTTCTTCTATAGACGAAGAAGCCTTCTTCTATAGGCGAAGAAGCCTTCTTCTATAGGAGAAGTCGTCTTCTTCCATATTGGAGAAGAAGTCGTCTTCTTCCATATAGGAGAAGAAGTCGTCTTCTTCTATAGGAGGAGAGGTCTTCTTCTCGTATAGGAGAAGAGGTCTTCTTCTCGTATAGGAGAAGAAGTCGTCTTCTATAGGAAAGGAAGCCTTCTTTTATAGGAGAAGAGGCCTTCTTCAGTAGGAGAGGAAGCCTTCTTCTATAGACGAAGAAGCCTTCTTCTATAGGCGAAGAAACCTTCTACTATAGGAGAAGAAGCCTTCTTCTATAGCAGAAGAATCCTTCTACTATAGGAGAAGAAGCCTTCTTCTATAGCAGAAGAATTCTTCTTCTATATCAGAAGAAGACTTCTTCTATAGGAGAAGTCGTCTTCTTCTATATAGGAGAAGAAGTCGTATTCTTCACGTATAGGAGAAGAGGTCTTCTTCTCGTATAAGAGAAGAGGTCTTCTTCTCGTATAAGAGAAGAGGTCTTCTTCTCATATAGGAGAAGAGGTCTTCTTCTCGTATAGGAGAAGAGGTCTTCTTCTCGTATAAGAGAAGAGGTCTTCTTCTCATATAGGAGAAGAGGTCTTCTTCTTGTATAGGAGAAGAGGTCTTCTTCTCGTATAGGAGAAGAGGTCTTCTTCTCGTATAGGAGAAGATGTCTTCTTCTCGTATAGGAGAAGAGTTCGTCTTCTCGTATGGGAGAAGAGTTCGTCTTCTCGTATAGGAGAAGAGTTCGTCTTCTCGTATAGGAGAAGAGGTCGTCTTCTCGTATAGGAGAAGAGGTCGTCTTCTCGTATAGGAGAAGAGGTCTTCTTCTATAGGAGAAGAGGTCTTCTTCTTCTATAGGAGAAGAGGTCTTCTTCTTCTATAGGAGAAGAGGTTCTCTTCTTCTATAGGAGAAGAGGCCTTCTTCTTCTTCTATAGGAGAAGAGGTTTTCTTCTTCTTCTATAGGAGAAGAGGTCTTCTTCTTCTTCTATAGGAGAAGAGGTCTTCTTCTTCTTCTATAGGAGAAGAGGTCTTCTTCTTCTTCTATAGGAGAGGAGGTCTTCTTCTTCTCGTATAGGAGAAGAGGTCTTCTTCTTCTCGTATAGGATAAGAGGTCTTCTTCTTCTCGTATAGGAGAAGAGGTCTTCTTCTTCTCGTATAGGAGAAGAGGTCTTCTTCTTCTCGTATAGGAGAAGAGGTCTTCTTCTTCTCGTATAGGAGAAGAGGTCTTCTTCTTCTCGTATAGGAGAAGAGGTCTTCTTCTTCTCGTATAGGAGAAGAGGTCTTTTTCTTCTCGTATAGGAGAAGAGGTCTTCTTCTTCTCGTATAGGAGAAGAGGTCTTCTTCTTCTATATAGGAGAAGAGGTATTCTTCTCGTATAGGAGAAGAGGTCTTCTTCTCGTATAGGAGAAGAGGTCTTCTTCTCGTGTAGGAGAAGAGGTCTTCTTCTCGTATAGGAGAAGAGGTATTCTTCTTGTATAGAAGAAGAAGTCTTCTTCTCGTATAGGAGTAGAGGTCTTCTTCTATAGGAGAAGAACAAATCCAAACAAAAATTTAATTTTGAAACGATTTAAAGATGAGTGAAGAAGGGGGTGTGTTCAGAGGGAGTGCCGTGTGTTAGCAATAAAAAAAAAAAAAAACAAAAATAAAACAACAAAAAAACACCAAGGAAATCATGGCAAAAGAGATAAGATAAAAAATAAATACTAATGCGAAAGAAAGAAACAAATAATAAACAATTAAAGGAAAATGTAACGAAATTTTGTAAAAAGAAGATTAGAGACCGCCTGGGATGTTCAATACTTTTGGATTTTTTTTTGTTTTTTAATTATTTTTGTGTTTTTTGTTTACTTTTTTTTTTTTTTTGGTTCAAACTAATTACTTCTTCCAACTATGACATCAAAAAAAAACAACAAAATAGGGGGAATCCCGGCATTTTACAATTTATAAACAGAGTGTTTGGAATTTGTGGCTCATTAATCCAAAATGTGTGAGCTGCCTTTTCTTTGGTCTATTTTAAAATTGAATATTTCAACGAAAAACTATCAAATTTGGCAATAACTTAATGAGAGACACGCGCAGAGCGTAATCGATTGATTTTAGAAGAAAAAATTCCAAACAATTTTCCATACTCATAACGGCGCTTCTTTCCCTATCCATCAATTTATTTTGGGTGGATAGGGAAAGAAGAGGCAGGTTACTCCTCTTGGCAACAAATTGTCTAGACTTTTATCTGCGGAACAGAGTGCTAGCTATATATTTTATATTGCATTTGATTTTATTGCTGCAGTTCTTATCTATTCCGACAAATGGCAATTGAAAGTAGGGGGGATTTTTTCCCATGTCATTTGCTAAGTCACAAGGCACACCTCTTTGTTTTTGAAATTTTGATAATTTTCAAGATATTTCCTTATATATAAACAGACGTTAGTAAGGAAATCACAATTTCTTATAAAAAAATTCTTATATTTTAAGGAAATTCTATGAGAAAATAGTTGATCTTATAGAAATGATACCAAAGGATTATCATAAACGAAATCGAATCCTATAGAAACCCATTCTATGGGTTTTTTTACAAACAATAACACATCTCGCAAATAAAGCAGACTTCTTGGTATTTACCACAAAAATATAATTTCTATAATACTTTCTTTTTATGGGGTATTTTTAATAAAAAAAGTTGGTAGAAAGGACTAAATTGTTTGGTAAAAAGACCTCTCACTCCCATAAAAAAGTAAACTTTTAAAATTAAAATTTTTCAATCCATTTTGATATGGGTTGACCTAAGTTTTGGTATTCCTTAGTTTTGAAATGTTTACTGCAAATCCCTTCGAAATTTTTCAAATCGGTGAAGTTCAAAAGTTTGTCTTTTGGCCCAGGAAATATTTGGCTAGAATTTTTAAAATATTAATAGTTGGGAATTTTTCATTGAGTATATTTAGGGGAAACTTACATAAGGGGGCGGGGACAACACCATATTCTTCACCCATATTACATAATTCGATAATTAAGATCGGCGTGATGGGAAAACTATTCGTAGAGCTGACCTAATGATTCTGCATGACAAAAATCTTGGCCTTTGGAATTTGCCTTCAAAAAAAGGGTCTTAGGCTGGGTTGTATTAAAGCTAGGCTCTAAACCTCATCCAGGAGAAGAAGAAGGACTCTCGAGTTCACTTATAAAAGGAAGTTGGGGTTTTGGAAGCACAGCTCTAGAAAATAAATTTTCCTACGAAATTAGGA